TAACTCTGATGGCTATTTCCATACTATTTTTCTTTCTTCCTGTTTCTCAAATCCCTTTTCCTTCTTTACTCTGGGGTTCTGTTCTTTTCTCAAACAGCAGCCTAGAATCTAAAAATGGAAAAGGTGCTTGAGTGGGCTGTGGTAACTCAAAAGTATTGCAGATGGTAAGCAGAGCTTCAAGGGCACATCTTTCTGCCACAATGGACCCGCCTTAAGGGGCCCACAAGCCTACTGGAGGCAAGATAGAACACTGCCAAAGAAAGACTACCCCACTTTGGGCAAACCCTGTGAAGTACCACAGACATCTAGTGGCTGCTCAGGAGAGTGTCTCACGGATATCTACCAAGGTGGCAAGTGGTCTAACCTGAAGGGGTCAGGCAGTCCTGGATCCTCTTTGAATCTGGATGACTATTTTTTCACTTCCTATTAGGGATCCACAGTCACTTAGAATGACAGGCTGGCTCTATTGAAGACCCATCTTTATTCCCATCCAGCAAAGCATAATTATGGTACCTGCATACAAGACCACAGAAGATAAGCATTTGGAAACATCTTCAAGCCTCAGGTTTAAATGCTAATTGACCATATATTGTTACCTGTCATCTTGACCCAAGAGCTGAACTCAGAAGAGACACACTCTTATATTAATGAGTTATGTGGCTTTAGGTAAGTCACTCTGCCTCTCTGGGCTTCATTACTGACATCTGCAAAATGAGAGGTTAAGTCCACATGATCTCTGAGGTCCCTGCTAACTTTAATGTTTTGTGATCTATGAGCCTTTTTAGGAGCTAAGAAAACGGTTGGATCTGATTTGCTCTGGCACTGGGGATCTCTTACATTAAACTGAAGGAAGCATTCTCTCCTCAAATTCATGGCTCACTTCCAAGACTTGGTTACAACCCCAAAGGACCAGCCTTTTTCACAGAACTGTATCTCTGAGGAGGGATGGGAATCGTGGCGTATGAGAGCTGGAAGGAGCTCTCTAGGCCATTTCCTTAATTTTACAGATGAAGAAACTGCTCTTTAGAGCTGTTTTAAGACTTGGCACATGTCTCCTCAGTGGCAGGCAGGGGACCAGAACGTGGGCCTCTCCATCTTACTGCAAGGCTCCGTCTATAATACCAAGTGACAGACACCAGCCTGACCCAGTCTGCTGGCGTTTCCAGCTTTCTCTGCTTGATTACAGCAGTCTTCCTGGGCAAAGCAAGTGAAAACACTCCCAATCCAGCATTTTCCCTTCTCTTCCTCTTTGCTTCTTATTCTTTAGTGGCACCATTCCAAGGCAAGCAAGCAGTCAGAACCAGGGGTCTGAGAGGAGCGATGGACCAAGTCCAGATGGTCCTCAGGTTACAGAGGCACGTTCAGTTCACACGGACTGTGTGTGGCCATGGCCTTGCTGTCTCATGAGCCTGGTTTGTGGTGTCACTAGCGTTCTCCTAGTTCAGCTGACCTACAGAGGGCAAAGCAGCCCCAACGAGTTCTCCATAGACCTACACAGGGCTTGGCTATACTCAGCTTCATCAGCCAAAGTCATCCAGAGAGACCACCTCTATACTTGTCTGATCCAAGTCAGCCTAACCTTCAACCACTTTTACAGTTGGGGGTAGAACTTTGCATTGGCTGGATCTGGAGTTAACAAATGGGGCTTGAGTTGGCCCCCACCAGCAGAAAACCAGTCCAGGCAGCAGAGGCCCCTGCAGGCAGCCAGCCATACTCCACACGGATCCATACTCTAGTCGTATCCTGGCCAGGCTCTTCTTTGGCACCAGACTCCTCTCCAAGCTCTAGGCCGGGCATGGTGAGAAGACCTGCTCACCAGCAAGCTTCTGATCCTCCTTCACAAATCCCTGTCAGGCTAGTCCACATTTCCTGAGTTCACAAGAAAGCAAGGCTCTGTTTGAAACCGAGGACCTATGGGTGTCTTCTGTAGTGACAGAAGCAAAAAGAGGCACCACAGAGCTCAGGAAGGAACTAAAACGGGCTGTCAGGGTCTGATTTACCTCCAACTCTCTTTTTTGTTCTTGATTAGTTATGGTGACAGAAAGAAGCTAAAGGACACTCTTCTCTCAGTTCCACCTCTCCCATCCTTTTTATTACTCTCTTCTAGGCTCTTCACTGAACTTTCAGGCAGGGCAAATTGAGAGTTCCCCACCTTGTCACCACTGACACTTTGCAGAGTAGTTACAATGGGCGGTTTTTGTCGCAGTGATGAAAAACTGGGCTCAGGGTCTGAAGGGCTGGATTGAAATGCTGGCTGTGTCACGTTCTGGGTGTATGACCTTGAGTAAACTACTTGCCTGCCTCAGGTTCAGTGCCTTCATCTGCAAAATGGATACTATTTTACAGAAGATAGTTAACTTCTACAAGTAGGTCAAACAAGAACACATTAGTGAATTCTTAGTATGTGAACAGCTCAGAGTGGATTGTTGTTGTTGTTAAGTGCCATCGAGTTGGTTCTGACTTATAGCGACCCTGTACAGGGTTTCCAAGGTGCAGCTGGTGGGTTTGAACTGCCCAACTTCCTTGTGGTTCGAAGTCCATTGCTGATCCAACAGCGCCACACCAAGAGTCCTCAGAGCAGATAAACGGAATCTGAGTTCTCATCCCAATGGGAGAAACTCAGGGGAATCACATCCAAGCCCGTTTCTAGATATATGGTTGCTGCCAGGGTTCAAAGCCCAGCTCTGCCACCTACTATGTGATTCAAGACAACATACTTGTTTATAAAATGGGTAGGTGGTATACAGAGGGACTGTTCAATAAATGTTATAGCTTGGCCGCAAATGTATAATTTTTTTAAAAAAGTGTCAAAGAATGGGGATTTGCCCACAAGGCAACGGTTTCCAGGACATCAGGAATTTCCTGCATATGTAATAAGGTTCAGGTTACTAGACCAACTTCCCAAGTCTTAGTCCTCACAGACCTTCCAACCCCCATTAGTAGAGTCGGGAACAGGCTGTTTTGGGGGTGGGAAAAGGCTGAATTAGTGCATTTCTCCTTCTCTGTCAAATGCTGCAGGGACCCCTCTAACCAGAAATTGGAGCAGGAAGTCCCTTCCTCTGACTGCGGGGTACTTCCACCCAGGAATCTCAGCAAGAGAAGCTCTGGGACAGCAGTTTAAGACCTTCACGAAGATTATCTGGGAGCAAGGGTTGGGACGCAGTTGTGAAGAGAGCAAGGCGGAGGCTGCGGCTCTGAGAATGAGCGGCTGTGCAGTGGATTCCGGAGAGGGAGTTCACCTCCACTCTTCCAGCCGGCCGCGGTGCGCTCCCATCCCCTCCCTCCACTTCTCGCAGTTGGTCTTTCCTTCCACTGCTTACCTCTCCCGCAACCCTCAGTAAGAAAACTAGTATTTAAACCTTAGTTAAAGGTGAGAAAGGGTGAGGGAATCAGTGGGCGGTTGTGTAGGTTGGTGGGGGCAGTAGGACGAGCATCCTTGCCGCTTCGCCCCTGCCCGGAGTCCCCACGATGTCGCTCCGAACTCTGAGTGGGCTGCGTGGCCAGGCGCGCAGACAGCAGGCGGCGGGGTGCGGTGACGCGGTCCGGCCGGCGACCGGCCAACTGCAGCCGCCCCACCACGGCCCTCCGCGCTCGGGTCTGAGCCCAGCGCGCGCAGCGCCTGAGCGAGGAAGAGGGCGGGGGCCCCGGGCCTGCACCAGTCCGCGCTGCTCCAGCCTATCAGCGGCCACCCAGCGGCTCCCTCCGACCGGACCAAAATAGCTGCGAACGCCTGCGACTCGCTCGGCCTCAGTCGCCGCGCGCCCGACCCTCTGCGCGCCTCGAGGGGCGGAGGGCCTGCGGGGGCGGGCTCGGAGGCCGGTGGCGGAGGAGGCCAGCAGAGGCGCGGGCTCGGCAGGCAGACGGACGCGCTGGCCACCCCACGTTAACCCCTCGAGGGCAGGCGGCGGCGGGCGCGGCGTTCAGACCTAAGAGCACTGCATCACGCTAATCTTCTCCCAGAACAGTATGCGTCAGCAGTACATTCACGTTCTGACTGAAGGACAAAAGGATGAGAGAGCAGTCTGCGCGGCTGCCGCCTGCACCACCGCGAGCCCGGCGCGAGGAGGAGACTGTGGGCACCGCGCGCAGGGGGCCCGCAGCTGCCACCGCCTCCGCTGCTAGCCGCCGGGGACCATGGTCTCAGGCTCCCGAGCGCTCCCCGCCGCCGCGACCCCGGGTGCTTACGCTGCTACCACCGCAGCCCGCACACAGCCTGGCCTCTGAAGGCAACGCGTTCGGACGCCGCGAGCTCGCTTTCTCCGCGCCGAGGCCCGCCAGGCGGTGCGCCGGGGGCCCGGCTGTACCTGGGGACGGCTGGCGGCCGCGCGCCCTCGGGGGCCGCCGCCGGCCCCGCGCCCGCCCCCGGACTCCCTGAAGGGGCTGCGGTGCAGCGCACCCAGTGTGCGTTTCCCAGCGCGGTCCCGGCGCGGCGCGCCTTCCCGCCGCTGCCCCTCGGGGCCGCCGGGACTGCTCTCCTGCGCCCTGAACAGACTGGAAACTCCGCCAGTTTCCCTTTTTAACCCCTGAGCGCAGGAAGCGGCGAGGAAGGGGGTGTGTGTCTGGGGAGGGCGCCGAAACGGACACCTCCTCTTAACCCTCGCGGCCCCGCGCGCGCCGAGACTGCAATCCGCGGTGGCACCCCGAGCGGCCGACAAAGGAGAGCGCAGCGCCACGGCGGCCGGCCGGCTCGGGCCCTTGCTCCCTTCGGTGGTGCGGAGCCGCTGGCTGGGGGCGCCGGAGGCACACTTTGGTGATGAAGCGGATCTCTCCTAGGCTGGCGCGAGCCGGTGCCAGGGTCCAAGGACAAAGCAGGGAAGCGCTGGTGGCGCTGCTCCCCGGGCCGAGGGGGGGGCATGCACCTGCATAGCCCGCCGGGCCTCGGCTCTCTCGGGTGCGCCTCAACTCCGCGGCTTCGCCCGATCCGGCTCCGGATCGACTAGAAGCCATTTTGTCTCCCCCACCCCTCCCATCCCCTCCCCTCCGCCCTTCCTGCCCCCACCACTTCCCCTTTTTGTTAATTAAAACTAAGAAGTGAGAATGGGATCGAAGTGCCCAGTTCCTGTGGAGAAAGCTTAAGGACACCATGCCAATTCCTTCCTTCCAAGGTTGGTGACAGGGAACTGGGTGTGGGGAGGGCTGCATGGTGGGAGAAAGTCCTAGCTTTTGGAGGGCTGCCGGGAGGGGGGGGGCGTTGGCAAGTGAGGGGCCGCGCTAGTTTGGAGTGGTGTTTGTTGGCCGATCTCCTCTTGTCTCTAATGGCCCCCTCCCCACCTCCTTCTCTAGATGGAAAGAGGAGCTCCTAGCTCACTTAAGCCGGGGTAGGTCTGGTTCTCCTTTCTGAACCAAAATCCCAGGCGATGGTGAATTATGAACGTGCCACACCATGAAGGTCTTGTGGCAGGTAACTGTGCACCACACCTGGAATGCCGTCCTGCTCCCCGTCGTCTACCTCGCGGCGCAAGTGTGGATTCTCTGTGCAGCCATTGCTGCTGCCGCCTCGGCCGGGCCCCAGAACTGCCCCTCCGTCTGCTCCTGCAGTAACCAGTTCAGCAAGGTGGTGTGCACCCGCCGGGGCCTCTCCGAGGTCCCTCAGGGGATTCCTTCCAACACCCGGTACCTCAACCTCATGGAAAATAATATCCAGATGATCCAGGCAGACACCTTTCGACACCTCCATCACCTGGAAGTCCTGCAGCTGGGCAGGAACTCCATTCGGCAGATCGAGGTGGGGGCCTTCAACGGGCTGGCCAGCCTCAACACTCTGGAGCTATTTGACAATTGGCTGACTGTCATACCCAGTGGGGCCTTTGAGTACCTGTCCAAGCTGCGGGAGCTTTGGCTCCGCAATAACCCCATAGAGAGCATCCCCTCTTATGCCTTCAACCGGGTGCCCTCTCTCATGCGCCTGGACTTGGGGGAGCTAAAGAAATTGGAATATATCTCCGAGGGAGCTTTTGAGGGACTGTTCAACCTCAAGTACCTGAACTTGGGCATGTGCAACATTAAGGATATGCCCAATCTCACCCCCCTGGTGGGGTTGGAGGAGCTGGAGATGTCAGGAAACCACTTTCCGGAAATCAGGCCTGGCTCCTTCCATGGCCTAAGCTCCCTCAAGAAGCTCTGGGTCATGAACTCACAGGTCAGCCTGATCGAGCGGAATGCTTTTGATGGGCTGGCCTCACTTGTGGAACTCAACTTGGCCCACAATAACCTCTCCTCTTTGCCCCATGACCTCTTCACCCCACTGAGGTACTTGGTGGAGTTGCACCTACACCACAATCCTTGGAACTGTGATTGTGACATCCTGTGGCTAGCCTGGTGGCTTCGGGAGTATATACCTACCAACTCCACCTGCTGTGGTCGATGCCATGCTCCCATGCACATGAGAGGCCGGTACCTGGTGGAGGTGGATCAGGCCTCCTTCCAGTGTTCTGCTCCCTTCATCATGGATGCCCCTCGTGACCTCAATATCTCTGAGGGTCGGATGGCAGAACTGAAGTGTCGGACTCCCCCTATGTCCTCTGTGAAGTGGCTGCTGCCCAATGGGACAGTGCTCAGCCATGCTTCCCATCACCCACGGATCTCTGTCCTCAACGACGGTACCTTGAACTTTTCCCATGTGCTGCTCTCCGACACAGGGGTATACACATGCATGGTGACCAACGTGGCAGGCAACTCCAATGCCTCGGCCTACCTCAACGTGAGCATGGCCGAGCTCAACACCTCCAACTATAGCTTCTTTACCACGGTTACAGTGGAGACCACCGAAATCTCGCCGGAGGATACCACGCGCAAGTACAAGCCTGTTCCGACCACATCCACTGGTTACCAGCCGGCATATACCACCTCTACCACGGTGCTCATCCAGACCACCCGTGTACCCAAGCAGGTGGCAGTCCCCACGGCAGACACCAATGACAAGATGCAGACCAGTCTGGATGAGGTCATGAAGACCACCAAGATCATCATCGGCTGCTTTGTGGCAGTGACTCTGCTAGCTGCCGCCATGTTGATTGTCTTCTATAAACTTCGGAAGCGGCACCAGCAGCGGAGTACAGTCACAGCTGCCCGGACAGTCGAGATTATCCAGGTGGATGAAGATATCCCCGCGGCAGCATCCGCAGCAACAACGGCTCCATCCGGTGTATCAGGTGAGGGGGCAGTTGTGCTGCCCACAATTCATGACCATATTAACTACAACACCTACAAACCAGCACATGGGGCCCACTGGACAGAAAACAGCCTGGGGAATTCTCTGCACCCCACCGTTACCACTATCTCTGAACCTTATATAATTCAGACCCACACCAAGGACAAGGTACAGGAAACACAAATATGACTCCCCCCCCCAAAAAAAAAACAACCACAAAATGCAATAGAATGCACACACACACACACACACACACACAACAACAACAACAAAGAGACAGCAACTTTTGTACAGAGCGGGGAGAGACTTTTTCTTGTATATGCTTATATATGAAATCTATGGGCTGGTAAAAAAGAAAAAAACAGATTATATTAAAATTTAAAACCAGAAAATGAAAACAAAACTATTTTCTAACTTGTAAGTTCTATTTAAAGGGGGAAGGGGAAGGGGGTCTTGGGAACACTGTCGGGTAGAAGTCACAAGTCAACTTGCTAAGCTGCCAGAGGGGTTTCTGGTATAAGGTTGCAACTATTGAGACAAAATCAACTTAAACCAACAACAGATGTTCCTAAAGAGGAATAGTGCAGGCTGCTGAGGGGATGGGAGGAGAAAGACGGAATCTGCCATTTTTTAGAAGATGCTTCCTAGGATACAGGAAATACCAGTTTCTACAACATCTTTCTTAAATGGAAAGTCGTCTTTGCAGATTTATCTTATTTTGAAAAAAACAAGAAAACAACAAAAAAAAGCACCAAGAGTTTGTATTGTGCCAAAATGTTGAGAGGCAATAATTTATTTATTTTTCTCTACTCCTTCAGATACCATAGGGGAAGATAGCTAAGTCTGAAGCACAGTTTAGACAGGAAAACCACAATTTTGATGACTCCTAATAGGGGCTGAGTCTGTCTGTCTGTCCATGTGCCCAAGTCACCAGCTTGCACACTGGGACACACATATGCCTGGCCTGAAGGGTGCCTCAGGCAGGCGCTGGTTTAGCTCCACCAGCCGACTGCCCACTGCACCAGCTTCTGCAGCTCGGGTTAACCCCTCTGGGCAAGACCTGTGTAGATCCAGGGTTTCCCAGAGGAGAAGGGGTGCGGAAGAGCAGACTGGCTGGGAAGGGAGGGTTGGGGCAGAGAAGGTGGTTCACAGGAGGCCCTCAATTAGCACAGGTTCATGTCCACCTGTTGTTCCTGAATTTCGACAAGTGATTGTAGACAATGATGGCATTTGATGCCTTTTTTTTTTTCCCCTTAAAAAAAAAAAGGTTTTGTTTGTATTAAGGTGATGCGGGGAGAGGCTGGGAGCCAGGAGGTTGGGGGAGTAGAAGCTTTTCTCGTGCTTGTGATTTGGTGACTATTCTAAATGCTGATTCATTAGGGATTTAGTCCAGCTGATGTCAAGTGTTTGTGGGGACAGGAGGGGGCAGACCATGGGTAGAGATGGAAATGGAGCCACAAAAAGGGTTCAGCCTCATTTAGAGTACTGATGCCTTTCCCAACCAGGATGGTTGACCAGAAAGCTGGGGACCCGCAGTTGAAAGTGGTACATGTGTGAGGGAGCCCTGTTGAAGGGGCGCAGTGGGGAAGTTACCCCTCTCCTGGGCCTGCTTCAGGAGGAGGGGCACAGCCGGGTGGGGGCTGCGAGTGGGCAGGCAAAGAGCTTTGTGTTATTTTGGTCCATTTAAATAATGTAACTTCTTTCCATTTATTATTTTAGCTTTACAAGGAAACAAAGGGTTCCGTTTTGAAAAGGGGGGTGGGCTGGGTGGGGGGGAATGCCAACAAAAGAACACTGATTGTAATGTGAGAAAAGTGTATTTTTGTATTTTAATAAATATTGTTCAATTTTTAATTCACTGTCCCCAAAGGGTTAAGCTGAATGAGACCCTGAATCTATAGGTTCTCCTAAGCAACCAAATCATTACTATTTAAAGGAGCAAATAAAATAAAATAAAGAGGGGAAAGGGAGGGAGGGCAGAGGTGAGGCGTGAGGGGGGAAAAACAAGTTAATTAATTTTTTCAAAGTCTGAAAAATGCTGCAGCTGCTAGCACCCTTTCCTTAGCTTAAATAAAAACAGCCCATCCTAGCGCACCTGCCATGAGCTCTGTGATGTGGGTCCCTGGCTCTGTCGGGGGGTACAGCCATGCTGCCCGTGCCCTGGAAGACCAGGGGAAGTGGGTCAGTCTCAGCTCCTGGGACCTGGCCAGAAGTGAAAGGCCATCTCAGCAGCAACACTGCTCAGGCAGCACCGGCTCTACCCAGGACCCTGGGGGACGAGCCAAGAGGTCTGCAATAATGTTGCTGGGCTGAAATTTCCACAGGCCCTGGTGGCTTCTCTTCTCTGGGTGCTAAGTAGACAGCTTCGTCTTGGTGGTGGGTGTCTGTCTGCTGCCGCTTACTAAGGAATGACGTCCAGGGAGGCTGCAGGCACGGGGACCCACGCTGGCTGCCTCAGCACCCGTATTTATACCGGTGCAGGGACTGGGGCTGAGTGGGTGTGAGCTCTGGCACTGAGCAGGGAGAGAGGCAGGCAGCACTTCAAGATTCCACTAAGAAAGGGCCAATTCTTCATCCTCTGGGGGAGCCATACTGTTTGTGGGTACCAGTGTTTGTGGCAGCTCTCATGCATGGGCACACTTATAAACTGCTGCTCGGGTTTCCAGGTTCCTTTCTGCTCTCCCTTCCCACCCTGCCCCCAGCAGAAAGAAGGAAAACTGCAGCAAAGTAGAGGGTGGGACTTGTCTAGGACCAGCTACAGTCCAAGAGACTAGTGCCCAAGAAAATTCAGGCTCTTTACAGCAGTTCTCCCCAGTAACACATTCAGAGGTGATTGCGGGAGCTGGGGGACTGCAGCTTTGGCAGTGGAATGAGATGAGAAGTGGACAGAGGGGGCTGTAGGAAAGAGGTCTGAAACAACCCTGAGGGTGAGTCAGGAGGACAGGCTAGGTCCTATCCAACTGCCCCTGAGGTCTTGGGATTGAGAAAGAGCTGCCTCCAGCAGGAACTCCAGGAGTTATAGGGGCCCAGGCCTCCCCTTGGACCTGAGGTGCTGTGCTAATTCAGCTGTGGACACAGTGACCCTGCTGGTAATGCTGGGGGTTTCCCCCCCCCCCCCCCCCGAAGAAAAAGGGGAGGGGGGGGGGGGGGGGGGGGGGGGGGTGTGGGTGGGGGGGGGGGGGGGGAATGCAGTCCTGAGGCCTGGCCACTCTGCAGTTTGCTGCCTGCGAAGGGAATACGGGCTGTAGCTCTTCAGTGGGGTACTTATAACAACACATTAAAGGGTACGACACTGCTGCTGGTTATACCGAGGCAGGGTTTGCCTTCTGGAATTCTTTAAAGGCTGTGAAAGAAAATCACTTAGTCTAATCTCGTCTTACTTTTTGGTCAAGGAAACTGAGGCCCCGAGAGTAACGGAAAGACATATCCAAGGTCACCCGGCTAGTTAGTGGAAGAGGTGAGACAGAGGTCTAGGATTCTTGAATCTCAAGCCAAATGCAGGTTCTAGCTCAGGCTCTTACAGGCTCTCGAGAACAGGGTTCGCTCCTTGCCAGGATGCAGTTGCAGTGGGACCTTCCTACAGGCACCACCTGTGTTCGGTACCCTTCAGAGAACCTGCCCTTCAAGCCTACCCTGAGCCTGAGCCCGAGCCCAGGGACCCCACAGCTGCCTAGGGGCCCCTCGTGTTCACTGAGAAATTGGACTCGCAGATTGCACACACAGCTTCCTGAATCCTAGGCCCAGTGGCAGGCAGATAAACAGAAACTAGGGTGGCAGCCAGGAGGAGAAGGACCTCAGGCAGGTCGTTCTTAAGGAGAAGGTGATCTGCCACCCCCTCCCCCCTCCCTGGAATCTTCCACTGGAGCAAGTTGTCTATGGTGGGTGGTTTCTGCTTACTTGGCTCCTTAGCTTCTCCCCTCCACCATGTACCTCAGCAGCTCCCATACTTTGTGTGCCTCGCCCGTCATTGCAATGCTGCTTCCTACTGTCATGATGAAGGCAGAGGCAGGCAGGACAGTTTCTAAGGTCCTGAGACATTAGCTTCGTCTTGGCTGTTTAACATGTATTGAGGTCAGCGACATGGGGCGTGCTGTGTCGACCACACAGCTGAGTCCCTGCAAGACAATTCCTGTTGTTGGCGGGGAAGAGGGCCAGACTCCATGACTACTGGTTGAGAGCCCTGGCTTACTAAAGTGGTGATGGGGAAAGACTGGGAGAGGGCTCAATGGGCCTTTCACCCCAGGCTTCTACCCCAGGAGGCCAGAGTCCACAATGAAGGCACCCACCCTTTACTATAACACAACAGCAGGGACTCTGAGTTAGAGGAGAAACAAGAGCTAGAGAGAGAGAGCGCGCGAGCAAGAGCTAGAGAGAGAGAGAGAGAGAGAAAACACATTTATACCCAAACATGTCTGATTTTCATCTCCTTGGCTGGGACTCAGTAGTGCTCCATGCCACTGGCTAATGCAGGCACTATTCACGCCATTTCTAATCCTGCCTCAGCTAAATTGCAAGGCAGCTTTTGGCTCAAAGTGCCTCTCTTGGTCTCCATCCATTCACAAAGCACCCCTTTCTCCTACAGGGGGAAGAATGGTTTGGGCAGTGGACTGAAATTATTTTCATCTTTGCTTTAAATGATAATGAAGTGAATTACTGCTTGGAGCAGGGATAAGGTCTTCAGAAAGGAGACTAGTGAAACATACATATCTGCAGGCAATGTAGCCTTCTGCTCACAAGTATAGACTCTGGAGCCAGACTCTGAATGGAATCCCAGCTCCATCACTGACCAGCCTCACGGTGCCACACTTTCTTCGTTTGTATATAATGGAGACGACAGCAGCATCTACCTCATTACTCCAAAGATTGTTGTTAGTGCCACTGAGTTCATTCCGACCCATAGTGACCCTGTATAGGGTTTCCTAGGAGCAGCTGGTGAGCTTGAACCGCCGACCTTGCAGTTCAAACGGCTTTGCAGTGTGGCGCATTAACCCACGGTGCCACACAAGGACTTTCGCCATTTATTTACATTTCTTCACTCTTAGAACAGCACACGGCATTCAGTAAGTGCTATATAGGTGGCAGTTCATATACTTGACCATATATATGAGGGTGCATCTCCCGTTAGTTACCACCTCCATTGTTGAAGCTCACTGTCCACATTAGAGAACATACCTATTGAACTGTACCTGAAAAGGATGGTTATCCACAAGTCAGAACTAGTACCATCCAAGCA